GTGTCCAGTTGGTCAATAGGGCCGTGTTGGATGGTGGTCAATGGGGCAACATCCAGTTGGTCAGTGGGACCTCATTCAATAATGGTCAGTGGGGCCACATCCAGTTGTTCAAGGGGCCATGTTGCATGGTGGTCAATGGGGCAGTGTCCAGTTGGTCAATGGGGCAGTGTCGGATGGTGGTCAATGGAGCAACATCTAGTTGATCAATAGGGCTGTGTTGGATGGTGATCAATGGGGCAGCATCCGGTTGGTCAGTGGGGCCTCATTTAGCAATGGTCAGTGGGGCCACATCCAGTTGGTCAATGGGGAAATGTTGCATAGTGATCAATGAAGCCTTGTCCTGTTGGTCAGTGGGGCTGTGTTGGTTGGTTGTTAATGGGGCAACATCCTGTTGGTCAACAGGGCTTCATTCAGCAATGGTCAGTGAGGCCACATCTGGTTGTTCAAGGGGCAACGTTGCATGGTGATCAATGGGGCTGTGTCTAGTTGGTCAACGGAGCCTCACTGGGTAATGGTCAGTGGGGCCACATCCAGTTGGTCAGTGGGGAAATGTTGCATGGTGGTCAGTGAGACTATGTGCAGTTGGTCAGCAGGACCATGTTGGATGGTGGTCAGCAGGGACACATCCAGTTTGTCACGGAATCACAGAATTACAGAATGGCCAGGGTTGGAAGGGACCTCAAGGATCACGAATCTCCAACCCCCTGCCACATGTAGGGCCACCAACCTCCACGTTTAATGCTAAACCAGGCTGCCCATGGTCCCATCAAACCTGGCCTTGAACACCTCCAAGGATGGGGCATCCACAGCCTCTCTGGGCAGCCTGTTCCAGTTGTCAACGAGGCCACGTTGGGTGATGGCCAATGGAGCTGTGCCTTGTTGGTCAATGGGGCCATGTTGGGTGGTGGTCAGCGGGGCTGTGTCCTGATGGTCAGCAGGGCTGTGTTGGGTGATGGTCAACAGAACTGCATCCAGTTGGTCAGTGGGCCCACGCTGGATGGTGGTCAGTAGGGCCGTGTCCAATTGGTCAACGGGACTGCATCCAGTTGGTCAGCAGGGCCGTGTTGGGTGGTGGTCAGTGGGTCTGTGTCCAGCTGAGCAATGAGGCTGTGTTGGGTGGTGGCCAACAGGACTGTGTTGGCTGGTGGCTGATGGAGCTGCATCCAGTTGGTTGCATCTTTCTTCTCCCAAGCTGTGAGGGACAGGACATGAGGAAATGGCCTCAGGTTGTGCCAGAGGAAGGGTAGGTTGAGGGTAAGGAAAAATTCCCACTCCGGGAGGGTTGTGAAGCACTGGGATGGCAACCCAGGGCAGGAGCTGAGTCCCCAGCCCTGGAGGGAACTGAAGGGACTCGTGGATGTGGTGCATGGGGACATGGCCCAGCAGTTGGCTGGGCAGTGCCAGGAGAGTGGTGGGATATGATGCCCTTCAAGGTCTCCTCCAACCCACATGATCCCATGGTACTGTGGGCTGTAGGAGGTGTCCCTGTCCATGGCAGGGTTTGGGATATATGGTCTGTAGAGTCCCTTCCACCTCAAATGTTTGTGGGACTGGAGGTCCCTTCCACCCCAAACAGTTTTGGGATTGAAGGTCTCTTCCACCCCAAACTGTTGTAGATTTGAAGGTCCATTCCACCCCAAGCAGTTCTGGGGTGGAAGGTCTGTTCCCTTCTTGTTGTGTTGGGATCCCCTGTGGGCTCTGGTGTTTCTCACTCTGTTGGGATCTCCAGTGGGTTTGGGATCTTCCTGCTGTATTGATGTACCTGATGGCGTCAGGTGCTTCTCGCTGCATTGGGGTCCCTGATGCCTTTGGGTCCATCTTGCTTTGTAGGAACAATCTTAGTAACAGGGCAGCCATGGGGCTTGTGCAGAGGGAGCTGCATGGGAGGAGTGTGTGGCTAAAGAGGCAAAACAGTGTTTTTCCACTCTTGTCGCAATACAAACAGCGTCGGCTTTGCTGCCCCCCACCCCAAAACATGGTCCCCTTCCTCACGAGGCTGTTTTAGGGTCAGACCCATGCCTTTGTCTTGCAGGGACGGCGTTGGTCCTCGCCAGGCTGCCCCTGGAGAAGATCGCTGAGTGCCTGAGCGAGCTGTGCGCCGTGCAAGTGCTCGCCCTGAAGAAGGTACGGCCACAGGGCACCAGTCCCCAGATGGCAGTGACGTTCTGTCACCATCCCCCTGTGTGCTGCTGCCACTGGGGACAATGCCACTGATCCCCTTTTGCCCCCCCCATGTCCCTTTTCTGCAGCTGCTCTCACAGGAGCCGAGCAATGGGCTCTCCTCCGACCCCACTGTGCCCCTGGACCGCCTCGCTGTCATCTTCAGGTCTGAGGTGTTCTTATCCATGTTGTGCCACCATCCCACTCCTGCCGTGTCCCAATGGTGTCCCCATCATGTCCTGGTCATGTCCCCATTCCATCCTGGTTGTGTTTCCATCATATCCCAGTCGTGTCTTGGACGTGTCCCAGTCATGTCTTGGTCCTGTCCCCATCCTATACTGTGTCCCTGTCCTGTCTCATTCATGACCCAGTCTTGTCCCCATTCTGTCCTGGCTGTGTCCCTGTCTTATCCCTGTTCCATCCTGATCACGTCCCTCTACTCTCCTATCCTGTCCTCATGCTGTGTCCTGTCCTGTCCCTTTCTCATCCCCATCCTGTTCCAGTAAAGTCCCTGTACTGTCCCAGTTGTGTCTGCGTATGGTCTCTATGCAGTCCTGGTTGTGTCCCCATTCCATCCCAGTCACATCCCCGTGTTGTCCCTATCCTGTCCTCATCCTGTCACCATTCTGTCCCTGTCTTGTCCCCGTCCTGTCCCGGTTGTGCTGTTGTGCCCTCATTCTGTCTCATTTGTGTCCTGTCAGAGGCACTTACCCCACTCTACTCCCTGCAGGCACACCAACCCCATTGTGGAGAACGGGCAGATCCACCCGTGCCAAAAAGTCATCCAGGAGGTGAGCGCGGGACGGGACCTGGCAGCACCCTCTGTGGTGATGTGGGGTGCTGGGGGTCACCTCGACTTTCTGCCCCCAGATCTGGCCCGTGCTTTCTGAGACCCTGAACAAGCACAGCGCCGATAACCGCATCGTGGAGCGCTGCTGCCGCTGCCTGCGCTTCGCCGTGCGCTGCGTGGGGAAGGGCTCTGCTGCACTGCTGCAGCCCCTGGTCACACAGGTTTGTGGGGGGAGCAGGGGGTGTACGGAACTGCAGCTGGGGCTGGGGAGGGAGGGGTTGAAACCAATGGGATTGGGATTGCGGATTGATGAGTGGGATTGGGATTGGGGAGGGAGGAGGGAAGCCAAGGAGATTGGGATTGGGAAGGGAGGGGTAGGGAACTGGGATCGGGACTGGGGAGGGAGGGGAGAAACCAAGTGGGGTTGGGGAGGGTTGCGAAGGAACAGGATTGGGATTGGGAAGGGATAGGGGAAGCCAGATGGGATTGGGGAGGGTTGTGAAGGAATGGGATTGGAATTGGGAAGGGATAGCGAAGCCAGATGGGATTGGGGAGGGTTGAGTGGGAATGGGTTGGGATGAGGGAAACCAGTGGGACTGGGGGGGAACAGGGGGAACTGGGATTTAGGATTGGGGAGAGATGGGAGGGAAACTTAATGGGATTGGGATGGGATGGATGGAACTGCATCTGGGATTAGGGAGGGATGTGGGAATCTGAAGCTGGGATTGGGAAGGGATGCAGGGAACTTTCTGCGGTTGGAATGGGATGTGTGGCATTTCAGCTGGAGTGGGAAAGGAATAAAACTGCACAGGTGGAACGGGAAAGGGGTGTGGGAAAGGGATGTATGGAGCTTCAGCTGGGATTGGGGGAGACCAGCTGGGATTGGGAAGGAGCTGCAGTGGTGTGTGCCCTACAGATGGTGAGCGTGTACCGGGCGCACCAGCACTCGTGCTTCCTGTACCTGGGCAGCATCCTGGTGGATGAGTATGGGATGGAGGAGGGCTGTCGGCAGGGGCTGCTCGACATGCTGCAGGTGGGGCTCATCCCAGCCCCTTCCTGCAATTCCTGAACCCCAATCCCTGCCCCAATCCTATAATGCCAGAACCCCAATCCTTGCCCTGGTCCTACAATTCCAACTCCAATCCTGCAGTTCCAGAACCACAACCCATCCCCAGTCCTACCATCCCTGCCCCAATCCTTCAATTCCAAAACCCCATCCCAGCCCCAATCCTACAAGCCCAACCCCAAACCTATGAACCCATGTCTTGGGGGGATGGGAGAGCAGCTTTGGGCTGAGGTTACCAAGTGATACAATTGACCCATACTCCTAATTACCAAGGATGCCCAATCAATTGCCAAGGAGTCTTAATGACTGGTGTCCCCCCAGGCTCTCTGCATCCCCACCTTCCAGCTCCTCGAGCAGCCCAGTGGCCTCCAGAACCATCCCGACACCGTGGATGACCTTTTCCGCCTCGCAGCCAGGTACCTTTGTCCCCATATCTCTGCATCCCCATATACACATGTCCCCATGTCTCTGAATCCACACATCCCCGTGTTTCCATATCTCCGTGTTCCTGCATCCCTGTGTGATCTACATTTCTGCATCTGCATGTCTCCAAGTCCTTCGTGTCCCTCTGTCCCTGCATTTTCTTGTTCCCAAGTCCTCTGTGTCCCCGTGTCTAACTCTTCCTGCATGCCCATGTCCCCAGATCCTCTCTGTCCCCGTGTCCCTGCATCCCCATGTCCCCCATTCCCCGCGTCCCGATGTCCCCATGTCCTCCTTGTCCCCCTGTCCCCATGTGACATCCCCATAACACGCTGTCATCACATCCCCCTGTCCCCAT